CAGAAGTGGCAATGAGGCTCAAAGTGGGAGAGCACTAGCCTTGAGCTAAAGAGTTTAGGGACAGTGCTCAGGCCCTGAGTCCAAGCCCTATGACAGACCAAAAGAAAGAAAAGAAAAGAAAAGAAAAATACATAATAAGATTTGCAGAAAAACACATGGATAAAATAAATTCATAACAGCTAAAAGGAATAAATTCTACCTATTGATAAAATGGAACCATCTGTCCTTTGTTGTTTCCCAAGAGGTCAAAAGAGACAAACCATGATAGGTGTGTGTTGTGGCTCACACATGTAATCTCAGTTACTTAGAAGGCAGAGAGAGATTGGGAGAATTGCAGTTCAAAACCAGCCTGGAGAAAATTTTAGTGGAATCCTATCTCAACAAATGAATTGGGCAGGTGATATACACCTTCCACTACATAGGAGACATGAGTAGGAGAATTAAAAGTCAAGCTAGTCCAGTCCAGGCAAGAAACATGAGACCCTACCCAATAAAAACTAAATCAAAATGGGATAAGAGAATAAATAAGGGACTAAAATAAAGCTCAAGTAGCATCTGCCTAGCCCAAGTAGCTCAGTGCAACAGAACCCATGAGAAAAAATGAACCTAGAAAATCCTGGATTCCAGTTTAGGAGCTAGAAATTCCCTTGCCCTCAGAAACAGCACCAACTCTGGCAACGGTCCTTAGGGAATCTTCCTCTGATACAGGAAACCAAGGTGACTTCCCCATACCATTTTACCTGGGGAAGAGATGGCACAACTATATTACAATCGTTTCCTTTGGGAAAGAAAGGACTAAATGGAGAAAAGCAAAACATGCCTACTTTACGCATGTCACAAATGAGGCCAAGGGAAACCACATATCTGTAGTAAACATATATTTACATAATGAGAAAATAAAATGTATTGTCAAAAGATTTCTGTGAATATCCATTATCTACCCAGTTAGACACATATGCTACCATAGTTAGCAAGGGATAAAAGAAAGGCACCTCAATACTATTAAAAGACTGGTTTTTCTGCTACTCTCCATATATACCTTAAACACTAAATATTTTCATCTATAATATGCTTCTCACAGATATTTAATTATCATACTTGAGTACTTTCTTTTGTAAAAAGATTTCATAATGGTTCTGTTGTTTTTCTAGCCTTGACATTTCTAGATGACATTTATATAGAAATGTTTTAATAGCAATTCATTGATAACACAGACTAAAAAACTTAAAGGTGTCTATTCAAAAGTTATATATGAAATTTCAAACTGGGATAAAAAAAATCTCTACAACAATCTTCTATGTTTTCATTTCTGCTAACCTCCAAAAATGAGCATAACCACATTGAATCAGTTTAGTAACAACCCTAAACGCCCAGGGCTTCCAAGTTATGCCATTGTCTGTGCTAGTATTTATAATCAACTTGGTGCCATGTATTATTATTACTTAATCACAGGAAAGCCTTGACCACCTAGATGACTATCTATAGCATACAACATGTACTGTATAAATGAAAGTTTCCTAGTAGTTAGAAGAAAAAAAGTAATATGGTGATGTCTTCATATTCTACATCATAATATATGCATGTCAAAGTTACAAAGAATCTATACCCAAATAATCAGTGCCATGTTCACATTTTAAGTAGTAACTTCCTTTTAGAAAAGAAATATCATTAATTAATCTTTACTCAGACTTTATTGGCCTTGTGATATGCTTTGTTTTGAACTTGAAATTTTCATTTAAATGTATTGTTGGATTTGTCTGTTGTTTTTTTTAACAAGGTCTTGCAAGGGAGCCCAGGCTTGCCTTGAACTCATTATTCTTCTTGCCTCAGCCAAGTATTGGTATCATAAGCATGCACCACCATATGTCTGACTTGGAGGTAGTTTGGTAAGTGTTTAAATCTAATAAATTTACATTTGCCTTTGTATCTATCCACATTAAATAAAATTTTATGATATAATATTTTACCCACATACCAGAATTTAGAGCCTGTAAGTTTTTTTTTTCTAAAATAGGCTCAAATATATTCAAGTTTATAACACTGATTTTATACTTTATTGTTTAAGGTCTAACTAAAATTCTACCTCATGCAATATACAATACTATGAAACCTACAGGATGAGACATTCTGAATCTTCTTTCAGCAATTAACCCCTTGCTTGTCAAACTCAGCATTTCATTTGTAAAGTATACTAGGTAAATAAATTAGTATCATGCAAGAAGTCTTCAGTAGATCTTTCATGAGAGGCTCAGTAGCCCCTCTGGCTACCCTTTAAGGAGCTTTCTAACTAATCTAGCTGGTTATTAATAGTGTGTGTAGCCGGGCGCTGGTGGCTCACGCCTGTAATCCTAGCTACTCAGGAGGCTGAGATCTGAGGATCTCGGTTCAAAGCCAGCCCGGGCAGGAGAGACCACGAGACTCCTATCTCCAATAAACCACCAGAAAACCGGAAGTGGCGCTGTAGCTCAAGTGGTAGAGCGCTCGCCTTGAGCTGAAGAGCTGAGGGACAGCGCCCAGGCCCAGAGTTCAAGCCCCACGACCAACCAAAAAAAAAAAAAAAATAGTGTGTATGTGTGTATGCATGTATGTGTGTGTGTGTGTGTGTGTGTGTGTGTGTGAAGCTAACATATAAGTTTAGAATGACTGTAGGAAACTCAACTTCCATAGTTGTGACAAGGACAAATTTGTAATTGTCTTTTTTCCATCTTCAAACTACCCTAGTTACCATTTGCTAATAATGACAGAGAAGCAGGGACAATAGGGGAAAAAGGAAGAATAGAAGAAAAGGTAGAAGAAATGGTCTAGATAGAATTACAATTAATCAGAATAAAAGGAAGGGAACTAATATTTGTGAGGTACCTTCTATGTACAAGTCATTCTATACTAGATATTATATAGCCCTAACACAATTACTCTGTTAAGACATTACACCTATTTTTTCACAGATGAAAAATCTGAGTTTAAAAGATATTAAATATTACCCTAGATTATACAGCTAGTAAGAGCTAAATAGGTGGGAGTTGTGTATATTTTAAAAGATAAGAATATTGTAAGAACTTAATGAATTGTGCAATGATTATGGCAATCAAACGAAACAGACTGACCTTTGAACTTAGGGTCAGAAGAAGAGGATCTTTCTACTACAGAGGTCACTTCTAAACTAGACTTTGAAGAAAAGGGCAAAGGATAATTCAGAAACAGAAACAACATTTGTATAGATTTCCATAGGTGTCCAATGGCAGGAATGCATATATGAACAGACTGAAAGTTGATCATAGAGAAACTTAAATGTTAATCTAACCAACTGTGGGGAAACATCATCAGCCACATTCAATTATCTTCTAATTAAATCTCAAATTGAATAAAACGATGCTGCATTATTTATAAAACTACCTAAAACTACATAAAACTTTTTTGTTTGTTTGTTTTTTGGTCCAATCGTGGGGCCTGAACTCTGGGCCTAGACGTTGTCCCTCAGTTCTTCAGCTCAAGGCTAGCGCTCTATCACTTGAGCCACAAGCGCCACTTCCAGCTTTTCTTTTTGCTTATGTGGTGCTGAGGAATCGAACGCAGGGCCTCATGCATGCAAGGCAAGCGCTCTACCACTGAGCCACCTTCCCAGCCCATATAAAAGTTTTTTTATGTTATTGTCAAGGTTTTGTACAGTGGGGTTACAGTTACGTAAGTAAGATAGTATGTTACATTTCTTGTCTAAGTGTTACCCCTTCCCTAATTTTTCTCCCTCTTTTCCTCCCTTCCAATCTCCCCCCAAATGAAAGTGTTTTTTAAAAGTATAGTTCAGAAGCCAGGCACCGGTGGCTCCCACCTATCATTCTAGCTACTCAGGAGGCTGAGAGTTGAAGATTGCTGTTGGAAGCCAGCCTAGGCAAGAGTCTTCGTGGGACTCTTGTCTCCAATACCCTACTCAAGTGGTAGAGCATTTGCCTTGAGCAAAAGAAGCTCAAGGAGAGCCCCCAGTACCCAAGACCAGCAAAAAAAAAAAAAAGCATAATTCAGGTAACATACAGGTCTCCAACTTTTGACTCCCTATTAGTTATCTATATCCCATTAATAATCACATGCTCCAATGATGTTTTTAAGCCTCTACTTGGACACTTTCAAATGTGGGGCACTCATTATCTAGTAGAACTCTATACTATCTTTCCTAATAAAGCCAATTCTTGCTGCAGGGCAAAGGCAAGTAGAGAAAATGAGTTTCATATCTATGATTTAATCCTTTAAATTAAAATGAACAAAATCTTCTATAGTCACAAATATATGCTCTTTCATTGGAAAATAAGCATAAACAAGTATTTTCTGTATGCTTTTGTGACCCAGTATCCTTTTCCTTAGTCTACTTTTGCTGGATATGAGGTGGGGATAAGTCTTCTATGCTGTTGCCTAAAGCCAATAACACCCTAGTTCCAGGGTGAAACACAAGACTATAAAACTGTGATTCATTAAGACTGGATATATGGAACTTACACAAAAGTGACCAGCCCAGTAACTGATAATTACATTGAGAAGAACATCTCTGATAGACTCAGTTCTTGAAATTGCTTTAATCAACTTACCATCACAAAGAAAAAAGCCTATCTGAAACCAACTCAAAAGAAATGGAGCCTAGAAACAGACATGGGGAGATCAGAGATCAGAAATGCCTACTTCAAATCACACTTCACCTTAGTGAGTTTTTGTTTTCTTTGAACCATTTGCTTTAGCACAGCATTTCACTTTCAACACTCCCAAGTACTGTCGCTTTTTAGAAAAAAATTAGTATTTTACTCAGGAAGAAATAAATGTCCAACTTTATTAACACTGAAAGAAAAGAATAAGCAACTCAGAAATTAAAAGTTCTCATTAGACTATGTCACAGTTAAAAAAGAAAAATAACCAAATATAATCCCCTAAAAAACAACTTTTTACTAAGGAAAAATAATCAAACATAATCCCCTAAAAAACAATTTAAGGAAATATCCAAAAACCATATAGACTCTTACTTGAAGCTGAAGAGTGTGCCGAAGAATTGTTTCTTCTAATGCATGAATCCACTTCTCTCGTTCATCAGCATCACGAGCTAGAATAAAAGATTGGAGATATTCAGTTTTGTCATTTCTTTAATAGGTTCCACTTTGATCTGCCTTATTGTATTGCTAAGCATCTAATATCTAATAGGTCTAATATCTAAGTACAAACACAACATACTTGCTTCTAATGGAATAATTACACTTAGTAAGTCCATTACATAGCTCTGCGCAAACTGCCACTGAAAACTAGCAAAGCTGGATTAATTATTTTTAAAAAATGGTTCTGTCAACTGATTCACAGATTTCAAAACATGATATATGTATATAACATATATATATAAAGAATACTATTCAGCCATGAAAAATAAAATCTTATTGTTGACAACAACATGGACTGAACTGGAAATCATATGTTAAATGAAAGGCAAAGAAAGACAAATACTACATGATCTTGTTCATATGAAGAATCTAGAACTTGCTCTTACAGAAGCTGAAAGTAAGCTGAAGGTGTGGCTCAAGTGGTAGAATGCCTACCAAGTAAGAGCAAGGTGCTCAGTTCAAACCAAAAAAAAAATCAAAAAGCTGAGAGCAAAATGTGAGTTGACAGTAGGGAGGAGGGAGAGCTGGTATCTGGAACCCAGGATAGAAGCAAGAAGTGATCACCATTTGGTGACCACTGACTGATAGCAGTAACTACTAACTGATTTTTTTATTTTTTTATTTTTTACTTTTTATTTTTTTGCCAGTCCTGGGGCTTGAAGTCAGGGCCTGGGCACTGTCCCTGAGCTTCTTTTGCTCAAGCCTAGCACTCTACCACTTGAGCCATATCACCATTTCTGGCTTTTTCTGTTTATGTGGTACTGAGAAATTGAACCCAGGGCTTTATGCAAGCTAGCAACCACTCTACCACTAAGCCACATTGCCAGCTTCTGATTTTTCAAAACCTGAAAGAAAGGGTTTTTTTTTTGTTTTTTTAAGTTTTATTATAAAGCAATAATCAATGTTCCGACTGGAGATATGTCTTAAATGGTAGAAAGTCAATCAGCCATGAGCAAAAAATGAGCCAGCACTGGTGGCTCAAACCTGTAATCCTAGCTACTGAGGAGGTTGAGATCTGAGGACTGCAGTTCAAAGCCAGCCTAAAGTAAAAAGCCAGAAGTGGGGGGCTGGTAAGGTGGCTCAGTGGTAGAGCGCTTGCCTTGCATGCATGAAGCCCTGGGTTCCATTCCTTAGCACCACATAAGCAAAAAGAAAAAAGCCGGAAGTGGTGCTGTGGCTCAAGTGGTAGAGCACTAGCCTTGAGCTGAAGAGCTGAGGGACAGCGCCCAGGCCCAGAGTTCAGGCCCCACGACTGGACCCCACACACACAAAAAAATATGCACTCAGACCCTGAGTTCAAGTCCCAGTAATAGTACAAAAAACATAAACAACACATAAAAACCCCTCATGGTAAGCCCATAGGTACAAAGCTATGTTTTTATATAGCAGTTAAAAATAAAATAAAAACTGGTTGAAAGCATTGGAAATCAACAAGGTAGTATAGAATTACCAGGCCTGGTATTTAGAGCCACTCTTCAGTATTTAGAGGTATTATAAATTTTGAGAGAAGATTCTAGATTGGACAAAGTACTTTAAGCTCTGTCAGTGTGGAGGCAGTTAGTACATATATAAGAGGTCTACTTTTTGCTCAATTTTGCTAATGAACCTAACTGCTCTAAAAAATAAAAGTCTTTAAAAAAAAGTGTTTCAAGCCAAAATTTAAAGACCACATTCTACTGTAACAAAAGACTAAATATAAGCCATGTTTTAATGAGAACCCCCCCTCACCCCTCTGCCAATCCCAAAGTTGCTTCACTTTGAGATAAAGGATAAACCAGAATTTTATGATTTCAGTTCCTAAAAGATTAATAAAGGGTCACTGTTTTTGTTTTTGTTGGTCTTTTCTTTTTTGGTACTGGGGATCGAACTCAGGATGTTGCACTTTGCCACTGAGCTACACCCTAGCCCCTAAGGTCAGTCGGGGGTTTGAACTCTGGGCTTGGGTCCTGACCCTGCGCTCTTCAGCTCAAGGAGAGCACTTTACTGCTTGAACCACAGCACCACTTCTGGTTTTCTAGTGGTTTATTGGAGATAAAATAGGGATACAGGTGGACCCATTGCAACAATGAGATGTACAAGTTGTTATGTCGAAAAACGAACTTTACAACTTTGGTGGGGGGGGGGGGGAATGGGTGGGGGGCAGGGGGGGATGGAAAGGGATGGGAAGGGGAAACAAAGGAGGAGGCAACAATGCTTGATAAGAAATGTACTCATTATCTTGCCCATATAATTGTAACTCCTCTGTATGGTATTTTCACAATAAAAAAAAAAAAAAAAAGAGTCTCATAGACTTTCCTGCCCGGGCTGGCTTTGAACCATGATCCTCAGATCTCAGCCTCCTGAGTAGATAGGATTACAGGCATGAGCCACCGGCGCCCAGCTCATGGGTCACTATTCTTTAATTTTGAACTTCATGGAAAAAAATCATGTCCTTAAGACTAAAAGGTATAAAAAAATGTTAGGTAGGAATGGGAGGTTTTTAAAGACACTGATAAGGAATGTGAACAGAGACCAGAAAAAGGGAGAGATGGAAGTTAAAAGGACTATAGGAAATTTGAAGGTAAGAAGTTGAAAAATCTAATTGACTTAGGTAAAAGATAGGGAAAGAATAAAATAGACATGCTGACTTATCAGGGAATGGAAGGAATGTAGTTACAGAGGAGAAGAAAGCATCTAGCTTGGTTGAGGAAATACAGGCACTGTTCCACAACACAGAGAATATAGAAGAAAAGTTGGATATAATGGCATAAACATGTAATCCCAGAGTTAGAAGCAAAAGAATCATAAGTTCAAGGTTGGCCTGTTTCTACATAGGGAATTCCAAATCAGGCTAAACTACATTATGAGATCCTTTCTCTAAAACAAACATACCAATGGAGGAGAACAAACAGGAAGTAGCAGGCTGCCAAAAGATTTTGGAGCTGAAAAATCTCAAATTCAATTAATCCTGAAATTTGGTAAACCTGACATGTTCAAGAATCTCACCATCCAAAGTTTATCTGAAATTATTAACAAGGATGCTCAATTACATGTTACTAGGCTGGAGGTGGCTCAATTGGTAGAATGCCATCTGTGAGCAAAAAAGCAAGCAAGAATGCAAGGCCCTTGGACTGGGAAGGTAGCTCAGTGGTACAGCGCTTGCTTTGCATGCATGAGGCCCTGGGTTCGATTCCTCAGCACCACATAAGCAGAAAGAAAAAAAAAAGCCGGAAGTGGTGCTGTGGCTCAAGTAGTAGAGCGCTAGCCTTGAGCTGAAGAGCTGAGGGACAGCGCCCAGGCCCAGAGTTCAGGCCCCACGACCGGACCAAAAAAAAAAAAAAAAAAAAAAAAAAATCATAAAAAAAAAAAAAAAAGACAGCAAGGCCCTAAATTCAAACTGCATACCAATACACAAACTAAAATAAATTGGAGGCCAGGAATGTGGCTCAGCGGTAGAGTGTTTGCCTAGCATGCACGAAGCCCTGGGTTCCATTCTTCAGTACCACATAAACAGAAAAAGCCAGAAGTGGTGCTGCGGCTCAAGTGATAGAGCGCTACTAGCCTTGAGCACAGAGGCTCAGGGACAGAGCCCAGGCCCTGAGTTCAAGCTCCAAGACCAGCAACACACACACACACACACACACACACACACACACACACACACACACACACACACCTAAAATTAATTGAAATAAAGTATAAAATAAATTATAATTTAAATATTCTCTTCTCAGGAAAAAAAAACACAGAATACATCTTTAATGCAGTCTAGAAAAGAAAAGGGAGAGAGCAGGATGGAAAAAGGTAATTTTAGGACGTTAAAGCCAGGTCTCTGTTCATGAGGGTAAATACAGAACTTCCAAAGTGCTTTCTACTGGTAATCTAGGGTAAAGTTTGTTCAGAAAGGAGAACAATCACTCAACTTGAGATGATGAAAATTTAATGCCAAAACTAGGCAAATAAGATACAAATAAGATACATAAGTTGGATGCTGGTAGCCTAGGTTTGTAAGCTTAGCTACTCAGGACGCTGAGATCTAAGGACCATGGTTCAAAAGCCAGACTGAGGAGGAAAAGTCTGTGAGACACTTATCTTCAGTTAACCATCAAAAAGCCAGAAGTGGAACTATGGCTAAAGTGGTAGAGCATTAGCATTGAGAGAAAAAAATAAAATAAGCCGGGTGCTGGTGGCTCACACCTGTAATCCTAGCTTCTCAGGAGGCTGAGATCTGAGGATCACAGATCAAAGCCAGCCCGGGCAGTCCATGAGACTATCTCCAATAAACCACTAGAAAACCGGAAGTGGCGCTGAGGCTCAAGTGGTAGAACGCTCACCTTGAGCTGAAGAGCACAGGGAAAGCGCCCAAACCCAAAGTTCAAGCCCCACGACCAACCAAAAATAAATAAATAAAATAAAATAAAATAAAATGGTCAGGGATAATGCCCATGCACCCATACACGCATACACACAGATTATATATTTAAAAGAGAGAGAATTTGCTATTTTTTTGTCCACTTCTGATGTAAACAGGGCCAAAACAAAGTAACAGAACTAGACCAATAAGAATTGTAAATGAGGGCTGGGAAGGTGGCTCAGTGGTAGAGCGCTTGCCTTGCATGCCTGAGGCCCTAGGTTCGATTCCTCAGCACCACATAAAGAAAAAAGCCAGAAGTGGCGCTGTGGCTCAAGTGGTAGAGCGTTAGCCTTGAGCTGAAGAGCTGAGGGACGGCGCCCAGGCCCAGAGTTCAGGCCCCATGACCAGACCCCCCCCCCCAAAAAAAAAGAAATTGTAAATGATTATGTTATTGTAAATAAAATGCTTAAAGGCATTTCGGAAAATATATAATGGTTCCACATGAACTTGGGAGTAAAAAGGCCTTAATACATTAAAACTATGTAAATATTTCTTCAGCATATGAACCAGAATGAAGGTATTTGTGTATTATCATTTAAAATATTAACAGTAAATCAC